TAGCAGGGGGCAGTTAGGGACAATCAGGCCAGCACACAGAGGCAGTGAGGGGCAACCAGGCAGGCAGGCAGGTGAGCAATTAGGAGCCAACGGTCCAGGATTGTGAGAGAGATGTCTGACTGCCAGTTTATGCCCAATCCCCGGGATCGGGCTTAAACCGGCAGTCGGACATCCCCCAAGGGGTCCCGGATTGGATAGGGTGCAGGCTGGGCTGGGCCCACACACGTGCACAAATTTGGTGCACCAGGCCTCTAGAGATGTGGGTTCTCCCCAGATGACACCTTTTCTCGGAGGCTGAGCCTTCTTCCACACAGGCAAGTGAATGAGACAAGAGGGGGGTTCTGGTGGCCTTAATCCAGGGCCCACTCCACTCTCTTTACCAGCCCAAGGGGATTATCAGTCCAAAAACCAAGACAACCTAATCAGAAATATTCAGTCTAAAGATCAACCAAATTCCTTTGGGGTCATCAGCAGAGGCACCAGACAGAACTGAATCTATAAAAAATCAGAACAATGCACTGAGCTATTGTTCTTTCCAACAACCAGGGATTATAGATTCAAATTCCCAAAGAAACACACAGTCAATGAAATGAATGGTGAGCCAGAGTGAGGTAATTGGGAGAAGTGTGGACTGCGGTTCACTGAGGAGCACTTGCCCTGTATGAAGGAGGAAGCTGTTGCTCAGCTCTGAATATGGCCTTGCAAGGATTTTCTTTTCTTAAAGAAAATAGAGAAATTTACATTTTTATGTGATATCTTTCAACTCTTAAATGTCAGCCAAAAAAAAATTGTTTTTCAAAACTGAAGGGGAAACATAAAACAAAGCTGAAGGCCAGACTCGGGCTGCAGGCGAACAACGCCCCACCTCTACCAGAACCAAACTAGCCTGTGCGGACTTAAACAGTGATTTCTGTTTTCCCGTGTGGTCCTTCTGGGACTCAAGCCAAACCACAGAGTCCTATTTCTAAAGGGCCCTCATAAGCAGACGCAGTGGACTTACATTTCGAAATCTGATAAACTCTGATCTTCTGATGTTTGACTCAGATCTCCAGGCACCTGCCATCAGGAGAGAAGAGAGAGAACGCATCATGGTTACCATGGTTTGCATAATCACAATAGAACCCTGTCTCTCCTGCTCCCTGAGCATCCCCTGCTCACACAGAGATGGAAAGGTGGGGCTGGAAAACAATGAGGTTCTGTGCAAGGATGCTAGAGATGATGTTACAGGAACAAAAATATGCCATGAGCGATCTCAATCATCTTTACAGAAAAAGGGCTGATCATCCTGCCGAGATAATCACAGGCACAAAAAGCATGCAATTTTGGAGCTATCAAGGCCTAGTTAAAATCTGAGATGCAAGATAGCAAATGCGCAGTAGAAAAAATTATCCATTGTTGCCAAGATGAACATCCACCACAGACAATGCATAAACAAACAGCCCCTGCCTGCCTCCTGTGGCCCCATCCTTCCCCTCATAACGTATCGAAACCTCAGGCAGCAGGACAGGGTCTTCTTCGACTCCGAGGCCCTGGGAGGACATGACTGAGTATGAGACGAACCTGCCTGCGTGATGGCAGCTACCATGTAAAGCAGATGACACAGTGGCCAGCACTGGTGGATGCTCAATAAATGGTGATGACATCATCACACCCAGGATACATTTCCCATTGTGAACTGATCGAATCTGAACTGGTTAGAGCTTAAGAATGTGGATCAGTCTGGCTGGTGTGGCTCAGTAGTAGTTGAGCATCGACCTATGAACCAGAAAAGATCATAGTTCAAATCCCGGTCAGGACACTTTCCCGGGTTGCAAGTTTGACCCCCAGTGTGGGGTGTGCAGGAGGCAGCTGATGAATGATTTTCTCTCATCACTGATATTTCTATCTCTTTCTCTTCCTCTCCCTTCCTCTCTCTGAAATCAATAGAAATATATATATATTTTTAAATGAGGATCAGAACTAAGAGGAACCAAGTGGAACAAAGAAGGTTGTGGGGTAGTGAGGGAAATAGAACTTTTACTTCACACTGCCAGGAAAGCCACTGGAAAACACCTGTCAGAGATTTCATATTATATGGCAATCTACATTCATATTATACAGTCTGGGTAACAGTCCCAGGGGTGGGCTCCCCCCACCCCCTACTCTAGAGATGGACTGAAGTTCAGGGAGGCCATGGGAGTGCCCAGTCACACACACTAGTATACAAACCGGATACGAATCCAGGTCTGTCCAACATCAAAGGCTTTTCGGCTACAAATTCCCTCAGACAGAGGAAACACCAGCTAACAGGTGAAAGGAGAAGGTGAGACGTAGCCAGAAGTTCTACTCGTAGAGCATTCCGAAGGTCCCCCTTAAAGAAACAGTGGGTTCCCTTCAGAGGCAGGAGAACCTAGTAATTACAGAGTCTGTGATCTGAGGCCTCATGGCTCAGGATCCAATCCCATCTCCCCTTTTTCCTGACTGTAGGGTCATGAGCAAATCACCCACTTTCTCTGTGTCCCACTGACTTCATCTGTAAAATGGGTATAACAGTAGTAATATTCATAGGTTACTCTGAGGACAAAGAGACTCAACACCTATGAAGTATGCAAAACAGTGCCTGGCAGATAGAAAGGCCTCAATAACTGACTTGTGCACTATAATAATAATAGGACAATTATTGAGAAGTAGGAGCAGTATGTTCTGTTATCCTTGACACTAGGCATGAATCTGTCCTGCCAGCCCAAGGGGTGTCTCTCACCTCACATATGGCAGCCCAGGCGGAGAGTGACCCAGCTGGAGCCCTCAGATGTGAGCTAAGCAGTTACTAGTAGACAGGGCTCCAGGGAGCAGACTTTGCTAGGAAGCTGCTTTGAGAAATTCCTTCAAGCCCAACAAGGAGGAAACCTGCCAGGAAAGCCACTGGAAAACACTTCCATTTTCAAACGATCAGGAACTTGTGGGCTGGGCGTCGGGTGGCCTTGCTATTCAGGCGACTGTCATTTTCATGTGGGTGGCTGGGAGGAGGGCTGGTATAATCTACTAGGGAAGCCACGAGGCTCCATGTCCCAAGATTCCCAAAACATCCACATCCTTTGCCCCAGAAACCTCACTCCAAAAGTTTATCAAGAAGGAACAACCAAAGACCAACATTCACATCAAAGATCATTCTCTTTCCATTGCTTAGACAAGTGGGGAAAGAAGCAAACAACATGAAGGTCCAACCATAAAGGAATGATTCAAGAACATGTGGCATGTCCACAGGAGATGGCCAAGCTAACAATGAGGTACACACACTCCTGAGGGTGCAAGCATAAAAGTAATTCCAGGAAAGTATATGAGCATAGTGACTGTGGCTATCATTGATAGTAGATTAAGAGTGGGGTTGGGGAGAAAAAAGGCATATTTTTCATTTGTTATTTTTCTATAAGATTTTTTTAAAAAGGGTATATTTTGAATGAACTGCTTTTAAAAAAATTTAAACACATTTTTAAAGAAAATGATAGCATTCCATGTGCTGTTTTGAAAAGAGCTCTGAGACAGATGATCAAGTGACAGCAAAAGCAGGGGTGGTCGGTGGGTCTTACACACTACCATGTGCAAAAACGAAGAATTAAGACTATCAAGTTGTATTTGGTTGTTTGGGGTTTGTTTTTTACATCAAGAAGCTGTAGCAGTGGAATTTAAGATACCAAAGAGGCACCTGTGGGCTGGGGGTGGAGGTCCAGGAAGCTGGTGCACGGCATTGGGAGTGGGGCTGTCTATCAAATAGCCTTTTATATCGTTTGAGTTTTGAAATAACATACTGCCACCCCAAGATTTAAATTAAAAAGTATAATCCCACCAATAGAGTGCTTTTGATCAATTTTTAATGGCACAGAAAAAAGCTCCTGCTCTCTGCTTAATAAAAGCTGCTATGGACTGCAAATGCCCTGTGATTCCCAAAATAACTCACAATGCATGTGTGCCGACAAAGTCAGAATGAAAGAGACCTGAAAGATGACAGTGGGAGCTGGCTGAGAGGTCAGATGAATTTGATTATATATTTGAACTTTTCTGTACTTTCCACAATGAGGATGCATTAATTGTGTGGCCACAAACAGATACACCTTCTGTATTAATTTAAGTGTGCATCGTAAATTATATTTTTTCCAACTTCTTCCCCCAATGCATTTGCTAGAATGCAGAAAGCCAGATGGAAGAGGCTTTGCCTTCAAACTCCTTGATGCATCAGGAGTGGAAAAGGGCCAAGGAAGGCTCTGAAGGCTCACCACCTTCCAGGCACTCTCTCCCCTTGACGGAGGGGGCCGATGGGAAAGGCTAGGACTCTTGAGCCTTCTCTGGTGGGGCTGTAGGTGGCTCTCGGCCTCTCGTGTCCTCCGAGCTTCCCCTCAGCACCTCGTCTCTCCTGGCATAATGAGAGGATCGGATGGAGAACACAGATGGGAGGAGGGACCATGAAGACACTGGCTGCACCACCGTGCCCTTCTCCGCCTGGAAAAGCTGTCTACCTGGCTGGGTACTGGCCATCATCTGGGTTTACAGTAATTGACAAGGAAGCTGGCTATATTTCAGTGTGGAGCAGAGGGTGCTTTATCAGAAACATAACTTTCTACTGATACTGGCCACCAACATCCCTCATGGCCTCCTGAAGCCCCAGGAGCCAGGAGCACAGCTCTGGGAGGCAGCCCGCTCTCTGATTTGCTCTCCTCATGGGGCATAAGTGATTGGCAGCTCAGCTGTCTTCATTCACTTCTCCTTGACCCCGCAGAGATGGGAGCTCACCGTTTGGCCTTGGGAAGCCATGTGGCAGAATGTGGGTGTGGGGAAGGCAGGGCCCTTGCTAGGAGAGCAGCCAGGAATCCTGGGTCCTCGAGACCCACGGAGAATCAGCGTCTGGGCTGCATCAGCCACAAGCTTCCACAAAACCCTGGCTCGATTCCCTGGGCTGCTTGGGGGCTAGGATCAGGGACAGCTCAGCTGACAGCAATCACTTCACGATGCAGGCGTGGGACAGGGACACGGGTCATCCTGACACTCTGACTGGGGAGTTCTCAAACTGGGAAGAGGGTACAAATACTAGAGGTTCTGCCACAAAGAATGACAAGTATGCTAAATAAACGTTTATGTAAAAAGGGAGAGAGGGGGCAAAGGATGAAAGTAAGAAGGGAGAGGGAGGGAGGGGAAGGAAGGAAGGGCAGAAAGAGAATCAGCCAATTGCCAAAACCATGGGGAAACTATTCGTCTCCCGTTGGCAGAATCAGGACCCAGGCAGGTGGCCCCACCTCCCGTCCTGAGAGACTTGCAGACACAGCAATGCCACAGTCCCCACGGCTTCCTCCTTTACGCAGAGCTTTCCTACAATGACCCTCCTCACACCCTCCTCCTCACGGCCCTGTGGGGAGAGACGTCGCCCCATGTCACAGGTGAGGATGAGAGTGGTCAGTGTGAATAAAGTGAAGATGCATGAGCCCAACCCAAACCTCCCAGCCTGTGGTTCCCGGGCAGCCTCAGCCTCAGTGACTCCAGGTGGAGAAGCCCACCAATCCCATCTGAGACCCAGAGGACAGCCAGCACCAACTGCCACACAAACAAGCGTCCCATCTTGGATGTCCAGCTCAGTCGAGCCCCAGGTGACTATAGTCCCAGCCGACACCTTATGATGTAGCATAACCACCCAGCTGAGCCCAGTCAACCCAAATTATCATGGGAAGAAAATGGATGTGTTTTTTAAGTCACTGAGTTTTGGGGTGGTTTGACATATAGCAATAGATAGCCCAAAAAGTAACTTGTCCAAGGTCATTCAACTAGTCAGTGACAGAGGTGGGCTCTCAATGCTTGTGGTCCAGCTCCAGAGTCTGCACTTTGCACATTGAGCTGCGCTGCCTCCCACTAGGAAGCCCGTGCTCTGTACCTGCACCTGCACACTAGGAAGCCCCGTGCTCTGTACCTGCATCTGCACACTAGGAAGCCCCGTGCTCTGTACCTGCACCTGCACACTAGGAAGTCCCATGCTCTGTACCTGCATCTGCACACTAGGAAGCCCCGTGCTCTACGTCTGCGCCCTAGGAAGCTCA